CTGTTTATCGTCGGCGAGCACCACCGCACCAGGCAGTTTCTGACTGCATGGTAATATCTTGACGGGAGGTGTTTGATACTAGCCCCTAAACTTTTCCTGTCACATCTGACAGTCCTGTTCGCTTGAACTTATTAACCTGACTTATTAGAATAATATTTTTCTTTTCTAACAAATCAAAGAACAATACTTTCCATTCTGTCTTTTCAACCCTATACGATACGGCGTATGCGTGGATGCGGGGCGCGGGGCTTCATCCTCTGTCTCCTTCCACCTTCTTCTCGAATCCGAATCTTGGTGATGGCTGGTGGGTTTGACTTGTCGAGGCTGGGAGCTGACTAGTGGCCCCCGGATTTCCTCTGACCTTTTTTGTTTGATTTGAGGGCCCCGGCTGTCTGCGTTCTTTGATGGTTGACACGTCGCAGTGCGTACTGTTGGAGCCGTTGGCGTCACGTGCTAGTGACTACGTGTGCCTGAGCGCGGCCGGAGGGTGGCCTCCACGACGGACGGGATTTTTTTTAATTTTAATATTTTTTGAAAACTAATTTTAAATCTAACATTGTCTGTTTTTTTAAACTAACATTTTTAGCCGTGTCTATTGCTATGGCACGGCCAAATGCCTGTGCCGCGCTATGCATAGTGGTGCAGCAGTGGGCTGACGTGGCGACGACCGGAAAGGTTGACGGTTGACGTGGTAGGGCCTGCCGCGCCACCCATCTTGGCACGGCAGTGCCGCGCCACGCAGCATGGCGCGGCGGTATCTGGACGGTTTAATCGGAACTTTCCGCGCCGATAGTGTTGCTTGACGTAAAACCAATAGTGGATTTGTTTCTGTCTTTTGTTGAATCTTTTTCACGGCCGAATAGAGAATTTGATAATCCAATGATTTTTTCCGTCTTTCATAATACGGTTAACCACCATGTTAACTAATCGATTACGAAAAATTGGATTGGATTGAAACGAATATTTTTATAAGGAAACTTATTTTTTTTTGCTTTTTTGTCTCATATTGTAGGATCGGCAGCGACGCGACCATGGACCCCGGCGTCGAGATACCCCGGGACTGCCGCTTCCCGAACTAGTTGCTACTTAATCTCGCCGGCAGTGCTGCCGCGACGCATTGAAACGAATATGAAGCAAATAAATAAAATCCGTGCGCAAGTTGACAAGCTGTCACATAACATATTCATTGGTTTGACATAAGTTCGACATAACATAACCAACTAAGCCTGCAAGTTTCGGACGTCAATATTGATTCGACCTAACAAACTAAGACCCAGGAGTGTAAGGATCCCTCGAACGCCTCTGTCTCTTTGGATTTGTTGGCAACACATTAGGAGTGTAGCCAACGTCGGTGTGGTCGCGTCGCCGGAAAGTACGGCTCGTACCCATCAAGTATATGATATGCACAATTACTTAGAATTCTTTATGATCGTTAGTTCATGTAGCCTACGTATTTAAAGAAACTACATTTGTTAGTACCTGTGAGGCTCCTTGGGTACCAAGCAGGGCACCACCTAGCTGAGACATATTGATCTCGTCCTACGGCCAATCGTCCCACTGGTCGTGCTGTCTGCGGAAGCCCGGGGGGTCGTCGTCGTCGTCATCGTTGTCCTCGTCGTCCTCGGTTGTAGGGTCCTTCCCAGCGCTATGATGTGGTGGTGTACGCACCACGGAAGTGGCACCTATCACCGGCTGAGAAGAGTCAGCTGGTGTCCTTAAAGAGGCTGAAGACGTGCCACCCGACCGCGCCGGGAGTGGCGGTTCCTCATAAGAAGTGTCCATGCAGCTCAGCTTTTGAGCTAGCTTCCTGCAGCTCTTCTTCACCTTCTGCATAAATATATGTTAAAGTTAGTGCATTTCCCAAACGCATATACACTAAAGAAATATTTTCGGAACGGACAAGTTTATGTTTACCTCCACAAAAGCATCAAGAACGCCTGGCCCCTGCCATCTAGACTCGTGAAGCCGGAACGCTGCTTCGTTGGACAGCCTCGACAATTGTGTCGTCTGGGTACAGAAACACGGTTGAACAATTTTAGTAAACATACTTAATACCAAATGGATAACAAATTGTACCATTCAAGTATCTTACCACGTATCTTTGTAACGGGGCTCTCTGTAGCTGTGTGTCCTCTCTAGTGGCAACGTCATACACATCTTCGATCATATCTTCCTCCGAGTCCTCGTCAATCGCCTCCTCAGTGTACGGGGGCTTGATATGTGTCCTCGTAGACCTGTGAAGCTAGCGCAGGTACTCGTCGAAGGTGTGCTGGTCGTGTGGAGGACCCGCATGGATCGGCTGTCGTTCCCTGGTCTCCCACAAGTGGATGTGCGCGTTGTGTGTCACGCGCCAATCCTTGGTCCTGTACCTCTTCCTGTGGTCATACTTGCAACAAAACGATGTTAATTGTACCACACACACCTCTGAATTATAGCTTTGTTATTAATCGATAACGCACCCGTGCAATCCTTGGTTGGTGGAGTAAAGCGGTGGTGGGTAGCCTGACATTCTTCCAAACTGTCTGCAGACCCTAACGGGCAAGTGAATCTCGAACACATGGAAGAAAATAAGAGGGACATTGCAGCGATACTCTTCTGACTCATCCCTAGTGACAGGACTGAGATAGTACTAGAGCTCCGGAGCATCCCAAGGACATCAATGCAGCTGAACATTTCATAATTGAGTTAGGCTGTGATATAGTGTACATCGAATAAGACACAGGTATGATAGTAAAGAGAGCGTAACCTGGTGCTGTGTCAGGACATCGAGATCGTCCGTATACTCCCTGAACTTACGCATTGCATTCCCTCTAACTCTGATTTCGTCCAGATAAACAGAGCTATAGGGAGTGTATCCTGCCCGTTCTATTGCTGCATTGAACACGATAATGAATTAGCCATTAATAAACTCATCATATGTAACCATATTGAAAAATATAATGAACCGAAGTACTTACCGGTAAATCAGTATTAAGGGGCCTCCCAATGGGCCATCGTTCCCAACACCAAACCTGGAGTAGGTACGAGCAACCCCCAAGGTTCGCATACCTTGAGGTGCGATGGCAGGTAACGCATAGCTGTCGATACGTCTATGCTAGGAGTGCGCTGCCCCAGCTGTACGCCGTTATGTTCTCCCACGACAAGCGTAGTATGTCAAGGAAGATCCAGCTGATGGTGTTGCCCGAGGCGTCTGGGAAGAGGAAAGCACCAAGAAAGTGCCAAAGCCACACTCGAGCGAACCTATGGATCGGAGCCTCCTCAGCCTGTGGGTCCAAGTAATCAAAGCGTTCTGTGATCTAGGACGACGAAACACCGGAACTTTTCCTGAAATTAACCAAAAAAAATGAGACCCGATGGCTGCAGGAAAGCAATGCAAGTATTAAATAGCCTTGAATTTCTCACTTATTTTTCTTGGAAGCCTCGTCGTCCGGTGGAAGAAAGCCAGTAAACTGAGCCACCAGCTCCCTCCAGTGATCATTGTCAATTGTCTCTGTCACTGGAAGTCCCCCCAAGCGAAGGGCAAAAATAGCCTTCACGTCCTATATGGTCAAGGTCATCTCGCTACAAGATAGGTGGAACATGTGGGTCTCAAGCCTCCACCTATTATAAGAATAGAACGACTGTTAGTTGTCTCAAATTTATTACAAGAATGTTTACGTACAAATAAGGTACTCGCACCTGTCTACAGTTGCAGTAAGTAGTGCTAGGTCAATGGGCGGAAGACCGTAGTTGACAACACGGATAAGCTCGAGGAAGCCAGCACGCTGTATGTATGGCGCGTAACGCTCATCCTACTGGTGCGCCCTAGTGTGCGTGCGGGGCCTCAAAGGAGGCAAGACCACCTCTGCGTCGTTGTCTCTCAAAATGTGTGCTCGGTGCTGGTCGTCGTACTCTACCTTAAGAATGGGGTACAATGGGTGCTACGTGGGAAGGGTCATCCTGTTACAAATTGATAAACAAAGAGTTAGAATATTCAAATTAATAAAATTCAAATTAACATTACGTAGCATTGTAAAATTAGAACTACTTGTTATGCAATACGAACACAATATGAAAGCACATGTATATATTCAAAGTAATATTAACAGACATATTAAACAACTTCACTAGCAATATAAGCATTTAACGAAACTTCATACTACAACACACAACCTTAAACCTAAAAACTAAATAACTAACTATAAACTAAATAATAAATACCTAACTATCCAAACTATACTACAACACACAACCTCAAACCTAAAAACTACCTACCTAAATCACAAACAAATTCACAAACCTAACTATCCTAAATCACTAACTATCATAAATCAATAACAATCATAAAACCCTAACTATCATAAATCACTAACTATCCTAAATCACTAATTATTCTAAATCAATAATAATTAAAATAGCATAAAATCGAGAGGGAGGTAGCTTGGTAGGAGCGGGCGGCCTCGACGCGCCGATGTTCGTGGCGCGGTCGGCGCGGGCGCTGTGCGGCGTGGGCGGGCGGGCGGGATGGCGTGTGTGCGGGCTCGCTCGCGATATTTATTTGGCCCTGCCGAGCCATACTCCGTGGCGCGGTAGGCCCTGCCACGTCAACCGTCAACCTTTCCGGTCGTCGCCACGTCAGCCCACTGCCGCGCCACCATGACCGCGCCATGACAATAGGCGCGGTCAAAAGTGTTAGTTTAAAAAAACAGACATCGTTAGATTTAAAATTAGTTTTCAAAAAGTGTTAAAATTAAAAAATATCATGGACGAACGGATCGACGGGTGGCGCCTGAGGATGTCTACCGACACGACACGTGCGTACCGGCGCGCACGTCGTTGGCCAAAGCCATCGTAGAGTTGGGTTGGGCACACGTCGTCGCCCGCGCGCGAGTGAGGAATCCCTCCCGATAAAAAGCCATATCCTCGCATTTGCCTGCCCGCTCAAGCACCACCGGTCTCTGTTGCGTGTTGGCACCTACGCTACATCGTGCGAAAGGTTATCGGAGGCGAGCGCGACAGACATGGCGCGCAGCAGGGTCAGGGGCATGCCCGCGCTCGCGCTGGTGGTGGCCGCCGTGGCCGTCGCGTGCGCCGAGGCGCGGCTGCCGGACTACCACCCGCCGACGTTCACGGTGACGGGCAAGGTGCAGTGCCAGGACTGCACCAAGAACTGGAACGCCTACGCCTACAACGCCAAGCCGATCCCCGGTTCGTTTCCCCCTCGCTCCCCCCCTAATCCTGGAATACATACAACGGAAGAGCCGGCTAACCCATGTCCACGTGCAGGCAGCAAGGTGAGCATCACGTGCCGGGACACCAACAACCGGGTGGTGCACCACAGCTCGGACTACACGGACGGCCAGGGCGTGTTCAACATCGAGGTGCCCAGGAAGGCGAAGAGCAACGACCGCGACATCGAGGCGTCCCGGTGCCTCGTCCGCCTCGCCTCCTCGGGCGACGCGGCCTGCGCCGTCTTCACCGACTTCAACCGCGGCAAGACCGGCCAGATCCCGTCTCGCCTCACGCATGCCTCCCCAACAAGGAAAACCTACGCCGTCGGCCCGTACTACTGCACCCTGCGGCAGTGCGACGTCAAGGTCAAGGACGCCGACGCCGGCTACTGATGGTGATGATCCCGGCCGCTGGCCACTCGATCGTCGGCGTCGCCCGGTGATTGCGATTTATGCGAGCATGCATTTTGCGTTCACAGATATTTTCTTTCTCTTTTACTTTTCCCCTTTTTCGAGTTTATAAGTCTCTTTGGAGAGTGGATCGATGCGTTGAGTTGCTGCTTTGTTCATTTGTGTAACGATCAGCATGTCGGCTGGTTGCTACTTTTGACCCGAACGAGTGATTTTAGTTAAAAAACTCTGTGAACCATTCTTTGCCTCTTGAATATCTGCGCCGCCGCTTGTTCTACTTTGCCAACCGAAAGTCGTCCGTCCGCCGCATCACACGACGATGCTTGATATCAACCTCTTCCGCACCGGCCGTACCGGCAAGAAGAAAGAGGACGGCGATCCGGACGCCGTCCGCGAGTCGCAGCGCAAACGCTTTGCTTCCGTCGAGATTGTCGACGAGGTCATCGAACTAGACGACCTATGGCGCCGTAGTAAGATATCTTCGTTGCTTTAGACGAATCGAAGCCCTTCCAGATCTCCGATCCGGCGTATATCTGACTCCCAGGATTCTCGTCTGGTCGCTGCAGGGCAGTACGATCTGGATAAGATCCGGAAGGAGCTCAACGCCATCAGCCGAGATACGGGCAAGCTAGCTGAAGATGGTACGTTCACTAGTCTCTCCCAAAGATTTATATAGTTGATCAATCGACTAAAATCTTGCAATCTTACAATCGACGCACCGAGATAGGGTGTCTCCCTTGCATTGGCTCAAATATGGATAGGCCGGTGGCGGCGAGGTGTGGTTACGATGGCATCATAGGTGTGATAGGCCGTGGGCGATGCCAATGGATGGTGGTCTTATTTAGGGCCGAGGCTCTGGGGTTTTACTTTCGTGTGCTGTGCCAACCTGTTTATGTGTATGTTTTTTTTTTGGGTGTCTTATTTTTGGCTTAATCACTGCTCTTGTTGCTCTGCAGCTCTTGCATCAGGTTGCACAGGAAAGGTTGGCTGCCAATGGTGCTAAGATACAGGTGGCCACCCTTGATGAGGTAATAAGATGGAAATCTGATATCCGGTTGTCTTCATCATGATTTTTCTTTATGCGTGTTTATTTCCATGGTGACTAAGAATGAATGATGGTTATACTCTTGTCGAGTTTCTTGTGTAGTTGTGCTTGGGTTTGCCATGATGGTTGCTTTGTTCATGTGCAGAGAAATAACGAACTAAAAGTTAAGGAGCTGATGGAATCCACCAATGGGAAGGAGAGGTTGGCTGCCACAGAAGCTTTGTGCAGCGTATCAAGATCATGCTTCACACCAAGCTTATGGCTATTGGCAATATTGTGCATGATCTGTGCCCATTGGTGACAACGAGGTGCGCTAGAAATTTAGTTTCTGGTGGTCATATAGAGATAAATATGTCAATCTACTTCTAGCCAGAGAAACAATAATATTTTTATTAATTTATAAAGTGAATGCGGGAGTCATACAACTTTTTGCTTCACTGCCATCCCTGATAGCTTGGCTTGTGGGGCCTGTCTTTCATGATTCAATTCTAGAAATTCAGAGATGTCGTCCCATATTTCTAATTACTAGAAATTCATTCCGCTTAGCTGATATCAACAGCTGGTGATTAAGTTACTTGTTACAGGGAAATAATGTTGTTTTCAGGACATGGGGAGAAAGGAGAATGGAGGAAAACTTGAAGAATCATGTGGATCTTTGCAGGATGCTTGACATTGTGGCTTTAGAGAATGGTACATGCTCACAACTTCCCTCTGTTCCTCAAGTAATTTCTAGCTTTCAACATTGTCTATTCTATCCTGTTTCAATGACCTATCACTCACAAATCTTTTTTTTTCCTGTTGATCTAATTATCTTGATTTTATTCTTAGTCACCTTTCTAGTATGGCTGCATGTGATAGTATTGCCCTTGTGTTGCACTGTTTGTTTGTGTCTTAGAACGTGGAGCCACTCATCAACTCGTGCAATATCAAGTTTGCCTTTTTAATGTGACAGCATACTCATGGGCACTAGTCAATATGCATGTATGAATGAAGAATCCCAGGGCAACAATTGTGTTTTGTTTCAATTATTGTTTTTTACATTGCCGAATCTGTTACCTTCCCAACTTTTGCAGGTGCTGATGTGGCCGGTGGAAGGGGTTACTTTTTGAATGATGAAGGTATCCTCCTGAACCTGGCATTGATAAATTTCTTTTTTTCTCGAATACGCAAAAGATTTACGTATCATTGTAATTAAGAAGAAGAAGAGTTTAACCATACACACGACCTGACATTGATAAATTTTGGCCTAGCATTCCTGCGAAAACGTGGCTTTAAGCCAATGCAAACTCCCTTTTTTTATGAGAAAGAAAACAATGAGGAAATGTGCCCAATTAGCCCAATTCGATGAGGAGCTATACAAAGTAAGGCCAAAGTAAGGCTGCCGACCCGTTCCTCACTTGCATATATCATGCTACAGCTGCATCAGGTGAGTTGCCTACTTACCGGTCTTATCGAGCACCCGCTAGTGTTGTTGAGCACCCACTAGTCGTGTCGATCACGAACAAGCATTATCTGTCCCACACACTATGGCTAGAGCTTGAAGAAGAAAAGAGAACAGAGCATACACACACATAGTAGAGACACCAGCGTTGACCGGAGCCCTGTATAGGAGATGGTAAATCTGAACTCTCTTTACTGAGTTGCCGTGGTAGCCTATTTATACAACTCTATCCTTCTAGTCCTATTACAGCTGCCCTGCTGCAACAGTGACTACATAACATACAGGGCTGACTCTGCGCCGGCCACTGCATGTGTCTACGGTGTTGCAGGTAAGCCATGCGGCGCCCACACCTGCAGCGGCTACAGTATCATAGCAGAGAGCCCTTTTCGATGTCGCCTTCTCTTACTGTGTTCACACAAGATAGCAGTGGATTATCCGACACATGCATCTTCTCAATATCTACTACTGACTGTTGGGTGCGCTTGTGCGTTTTTTTCTCTCGATCGTGTCCTCGTGACACTGTTGGGTGCGCTTCTGCAATGTTCTGTGTCTAGAACCGTTTCAACCAATCACAAGGTGGTGATCTCATCCCACGTATCCATCTTCGGAATAAAATTCTATGCGACACCGTTGCACTTCGCTCGCGTGCGGCACCGCACGCTTGCTTGACGCGTGTCCGTTCGCTCGACATCATGAAGGGACGTCAAGGCGACTGTTCGCCATGTATATATACCCGATCGATCAATGGAATCAATACAGTTCAATCATGGGAAAATTAGTTCTACAGCACTGGAGGATCGCGATATCTAAAAAAAAATACCATCGAAAGCTTGTCCGTGCGTGAAATAGCACCAAAAGAATGAACAGTTAGCTAAAAATACCATTCCGTCACGGTTTGAGATAACACTGTGAACTCCGCGTCATGGTGGTCACGCCCCAGGCAACCTCGCCGCTTCCCGGCGTACGCCGGAGCGACGAGGACCCCGAAGGGTGCCTTGCGTGGCTCGACGAGCGGCGGTTGGTGTTCGGCACGCAGGTCCACGTCACCGTGGCGCAGCTCCAGGAGTTCGCGCACGGGCTAGCGGACTCCGGTGGCCTTGGCGAGCAACGCCTCCATCTCCTCGACGTGGTGCTCGAGGCGGCCGATGTGTGTGTCGGCCTCGTCGCGGAGCCTGCGCACGCCGCCGATGACGTGCGCGGGGGCGTGGCGCTACAGCCAACGCGCGATGCCGTAGTCGGGTGCCTCCATCCAGCGCGACAGCTGCGCGGCGGGCCAGGTCGAGCGCCTCCTTGACCTACCCCGCGAGCTCGCCGAGCTCCCCCGTGGAGCGCTGGGTGTGCAGGCCGAGGCCCTGGAAGAGAGGAAGCAGCGGCTCGACGCTCCAGCACAGGCGCTCGACAGTGGACCGGCAAAACAGAGGGGCCTGCACCACGTGCAACAGCTCCCACAGGGCCTCGCCGGCCAACTGGTTGAGCAGCAGCCAGTCCATGGTCGCCGCCGCAGCTAGTTGCTCAGACCGTGCTCCTCGTCGCCTTCCTCTATCTCTATCGCCGCCTTCGGCTCCTCCTCCTGCTTGCGTGTGCTCGGTCCTGTCTGTCACCGCGTTCACGGGAGGGGTAGAGCTGCTCCTGGTGGATCTCCGCCACAAATCGACATACGGATGGCCCAACATGCCACGGGGATTGGTGAGAGGGTGGAAAGAGGATGACGAGTGGGACCGTCCTCTCTGGGTGAAGTGGAGTGAATGTGAGGTAGACGTCGTTAACAACCAGTTGACAGAATGCTAGATTCCAGAACGGATTATTTCTTTCAGTGGTATTTTACATAACAACAAACTTTTAATGTTATTTTCCGGATGTCACGATCTTTCGATGTTATAGAACTAATTTTCCCTTCGATCATTCATTCTTTGGTCTTGCTCTCTTTATATTCAAACACTGTGTCTGAATTATATTTTTCCCATAATTGTATGCCGCTACACACTGGATACATGGGCCCGTTGTCCCAAGTAATGATTGATTGTTGTATCATGTGTTATTTTCTATGGATTCCTTATATCCGTCATGCTTTGTACTCCGTTTTCAAAATGAATGTAGTTCTAGTTGTCCTAAGTTAAATATTTTTTAGCTTGACTATTAATTTCTAGTTATGGGTATGGTTTAACATCTGCTTCCTCCGTCAAAAAAAAAAGGAGGACGCTAATGCGCGATGGGTTGCGCGTCCCATCATCTATCTCGCGTCCGTGGAGCGGGAGCAACCGGTGGTGGTGGAGTAGACCGTGAAGCAGAAGCAGCCGGTGGCGGTGTTGACCGTGTTTGGGCAAGCTCGATGCCGCCGCTGCAACTCTCGTGTACCATTCTCCAAATCTACCGCAGCCGCACTCGCAGTCACCTCTGCAAGGCTAAGGGGGATTGTTTTCTTTGGCTAAAATTTAGCCATGTCCCATGGAATGCTTGATACCAATTAGATTATTAAACATAGGTTAATTATAAAAC